GAAAAACTGCTGCTACAACGGAAAACATAAGCCAGAGACGTTTTGCTCAGGCACAGGCTTAATGTGATTATCTCAATAAACACGCAGGAAGGCTATTTTGCAAATGAATCAAGGGATTCGTGGCGATTTAAAACGCATTCGCCAGTTTAAACTAAAAAGTTCGTAATTTGTGGTGAAACTGACCAATAGGCGATCAGGAGCGACGGGCCAAATTCACCTTTGGGAGGTTTTCTTCCAAGATTTTTAAGAAACTTTGCAAGAGGAAAGAGTAAAATCAGACTTAATACTGTAAATTGTCAATGGTGGATTCAAACGCTGTTTTCAACGTGGACAAAGGTCCGGGTTTTCAGTCTGCAGAGGAGAGACTCTGATTCAAAAGATCTTCGGTTCAGAGACCGGCCAGTCACTCGTAGGTGCTACTTAACGAAAAATAAATGGGAAGCTGCCTTCGTCACAACGCTGCAGGAATCGTTTTAACGTCAAGCATTTGTAGCTGATGACGTAGAAAAAGAAGTTGGCCTCATGAATCTACAGTTGGAAGGCAGGGCGAAATTCCAACGATTCAAAAGTCGCACTCCTTCAGGTTTCTGACTCTGGGCCTATAATCATACGGATAGGTGTTTGAATGATTCATAGTTCAAGGCTCCAAATATAACATGTAGTAAAACAGCTTAATGCCAACGCGTTTTGCTGCATGAACCATAGCATCTTCAGGGCTAGCTAGGTTCATAGCCCTGACGATGCCACGGTCAGTGTAGCAAAACGCGTCGGCATAAATTATTTTATCATCTAATGTATTTGGTGACCTGAACTATGAACCCTTCAAACACCTGTCAGAAAGAGGTCTCACTTTTACCTTCTTCAATGTATGAGGTGGCAGCGCAAAGTTGGAAGCGCCTGGTTGAGACAAACGTGTTTGAGCGATTGATATGACCTCTTCTACATCAAGAGTTCACTGATATGCATGCTCTAGTTGCCTCTGTCAGTAACGGAAGCTTTGACTGCTCACATAACGCTTGACCATCGGTGCTGTACGTTTAGATATTCTAACCATGCATCAAGAGAATGTTCAGTATTTGGCAAATCTGAAGCTCTCGACGTCGTTCTTCTTTTATACCTTCTCCTCAATCCTTTGGAACTAGTAAATCTTACGTTGCCAAACGATGTTTTGGAATGCCCTCTATGCTATGATGTTGCATACAGCATCATTGTCACCGTCAAATGCGCATGTGAGGAAGTTAAAGGATTTAAATACCGATATATATGACATAATCCAAATGAATGCCATTCTGATATAAGTGACAGAAATGCTGCTCCGTGCAAAGACTGTTGACGTGACTGAACTCAACAGGCTAACAAGCATGGTAATTCAATATACCCTCGACGACGAGCCGTTATTTCTCCAGATCGAGAAATCACGGTTGTGAGGGTTTCAATACCTGTTCAAAATGCCAGAGGAACAATTCACTGAAAGGACATATAAATACATCATGACAGGTTGCCTGCGGGTGCGCTAACGGCCATATGCCTACGGTATATTGAACACCTATGAATCCAGCCCATGGCGCCTGACTGACTGACTGTGTATCAGTAGTATTAAAAACATTCGCGTGATACATCTGCCTCGCAACCTGAAAGGAACATCGAGGTCTAATAATAAATGCATGTGATAACATTCGCAGGTCGATATGATACTATGCAGCATGTGTGACACTATATTATGAAGCAGGGCATTCTACATTCTCCAATGGCATATTGTACTACTGATGGATTCAACGCTGTACATCAGCTAAATATTTATGAGAAAAACTAGAACGCATTGCATAGCGACATAACCGATTCGATACGAGATATCAACTTTGATGCAATAATATTTTACCATTCCCACCATATCGTACTCAACCATCTGAGAATGTATAAAGTAGCAGAAAGACAATGTATATCACAACTAGATCTTCCATCATTTATAATATTACTATACTCTAGCGACATTAGAGACGTTGCCTTCAGCAAAATGTAAACAACCTGT